TTAACCCTGAAACGGGGCCACAAAATATTTTTACACCTGGTTCAAAACTTCCTTATTTGATTATTCTAGTTTACAGTTGCTATTAATATTTTTCTTACCTGGATAAGCTTAGGGTTTGAGTTTCATATTTCAGACAAAGGCATATGTGTGTGTGTGTGTGTGTGTGTTGCAAAACCCCCAAAATAGTAGCGTTAACCTTTTAAGCAGTGGTTTAAAAAGCCAGGAGCCCTTTACAATAAAATTAGCATTTGAATGATCTCTTACAAAGTATCTTTCAAAATACATCAGCAAGTTTTAATAAATATTACTTAAGTTACTTCTAAGTGTTGTTTATATGTGTTAAATATGAAACTATAAAGCAATAAAAATATTGTGCATTCTGGTAAATCACAGTTCTGTTGGAATTAACTGAAAAAGTGGTCAGGCACTTGACATCTAAAAGACATGTAAATGTAATTAGGAATTTATACTAAAAATCATATGTAACCCTAAAATTATAAAGTACTAAATTCAGAATTTAGTATCTACATGTGGATTCTAATTATATCAAAACACTTGTTGCCTGGAATCCTTTCATCAGGAAATAAATCATGATGGAGCGCTGAACTTTCTAAAATACCCGAAGGGTTGTAGTCTTCAATGCTTTTTATATTCTTTAGTCTACTTTATTTTTTTTTTTTGTCTTTCTTTCCCTTTCTGTTGACCAGTTGACCATGTGTTTAGTGTTCCTCACCTCTTTTCTTTTCTTTTCTTTTCTTTTCTTTTCTTTTCTTTTCTTTTCTTTTCTTTTCTTTCTTTCTTTCTTTCTTTCTTTCTTTCTTTCTTTCTTTCTTTCTTTCTTTCTTTCCTTTCTTTCTTTCTTTTCTTTTTCTTTCTTTTTCTTTTTCTTTCTTTCTTTTCTCTTTCTTTCTTCCTTTCTTTCTTCCTTTTTTTTTTTGGCTGCTAATGGGCTATGACTTTGGAATCTAGATAATTTAGTTTAGTGAGAGGCAGTAGAATACAGTTCTAAGAATGCAAGAAGAGTATGGAACAGTATTTTCAAATTTCTGAAGGGAAGAAAATACGTTTCAAGCATTTTATAATCATTCAAATTGTTCTTCAGTTGTAAGGCAAGAGACAGCCTAACCCGTGAACACCAGAGAGACGACAATACTGATGACACTCTTTTAAAATAAACACACAAACAAAATTAACTTACCTGAGGACTAAGTCCAGGCAACCAAGAGATGAATCAAAATGAAAACTCAGGAACGGAGAAGCCATAGAAAAATGGTGTGCACTGGCGCCACTTAAGTTGAATTTTAACTGTGTGATTTATGGTTCCGGACCAGAATACAGATGTTATAAACCTTTAAAACTCTTTGTCGAAACACTAAAAACTATCTTTCTGATGGCTATGAATGTACAGAGAAATTTTTCAAACAGCAAAAACTAATGTTTCGTATACCATAATTCAAAATATTAGAATAACTTTGAAATTTAAAGTGTTATTTCTTCGTAAAAAAACTCCCTGAGAGAAGTCTGAACTTGCCTTCATCTCATTGTATAACTTAAGATACAGATACCTTGTAGAGAAGGTATAGAAATTTCAAAATTTGAATCAGATGCTTCAGAAGTTTTCTCCTTTGCCCTCGGTGAAATATCTCGGGAATTCCTTTAATGCGAAGTTTTCTGCAGGCATTATTTCCTCTGCAGCATCTTTGTCCTTTGATGTCACGAGCACCTTCTTCATCCGTGTGGCTGATCTGGTCTTCACTGAGTTCCTCTGGCTGCGTGTCTGGTGCCGCTTGAACGGCAGCGGTATTGGCAGTGCCGTGGTCAGCTGTCCCTCCCGTGCCCTCTTTAACGTTCAGTCTGAATTTCACTTCCAGGGTCACCACTTTCCGCTTGTTGGGGAGCTTCCATCCTCTTTTGATTTTCTACGTTTATAAGTAACCCGTCCGTCACGTCAGATTAGCACCGGGTGGCAGGGAGGCACATAACTGCACGTTTGTCTGTTTGTGATCCAAAAAATAGATACACCGTGATCAGTCACTAATTGACTTTGAAAGAAGTGGCGTAATTGATCACTGATTGTGATGAGCGCCTGTTGTTTACGGAGTGATTTGTGGGTTGAAGAAAGCCACAAACTTTGAAGCATCAAAGTTTGTGTTCTGCGCAATGATTTAGTAATACAGTGGTACCTGAGATTTGAACCATGTTGTTGAGGGTTTATTTAACTAAATTGTGGAAACTCAATTTGTGATTATATAGTGATAACATACGAAGTGAAAACTACCTACAATAATATAATTGACCAGAATCCTAGGTTGAATGGGGGAAAGTATGAGTGTATTAACCCTACTTTTCTTGTCAGATAGTCAGAAAATATTGTCTAAAGTTGAAATATGTAAACACAGTGATTCTAACTTCTAAATGTTTCTTATAGTCATATTTTATTAATTTTAAAGGAATCTCTTAGGGACACTCCTCTGGTGAAGAAAATATAAAGTGCAGGCCTTTTTTGTTTCTCCTCCTTTTCTGTTAAGACCCGTATCCAGTAGGTAGAGATGTTCCAGTCCAGTTTCACTGAAGCAACTACCCAACTTAAAGTACCTCCTTCACTGGCATATGGCCATGCCTGCAGGGCCAATAGCGTCAACTCTAACACCCTTTGGGCATTAACGTAATTCCCACTAAGGCCAGTCCTTATTCCTAATGACCACGTTGCAGTCAGCGCAGCTTCATTTCTGCATTCCACTGTTCAGGGTTTTTTTTTTTAATTGAAGTTCAGTCAGTTACAGTATGTCTCTATCTGGTGTTCCACTATTCAGTTTTGGTACTTGAAAATTTCTTGTTCTCAAGCTCAGCTGTGTATTTAAAATAAATTTTAAAAATTTATGCAACATTTCACTGTGTTTGTACTGGACAGGAGGGAAGATTCTTGCATGTGCTTCATTATCATCTAGCCTGGAAATACTTTGTCGTGGTCATTCATTTAAAAAAAAATTACTCAATAGTTTCCTAAACTATGAAGTGCCTCTTAGTTGAGTCACTGTGTTGTATGCCTGAAACTAACATAATTTTATACATCAGCTGTATTTCAATAAAAAAGTACCTATTAATAAATACTAAGAATATGTGAGACCTATAGGAGGAAACTGAATTCATAAAATAAGATCTGAATTAATATAGTGATGCAGTATTCCCAGATGGGAAGGCTTAATTAGTAAAGATATCAGTTCTCTTCAAATTGGGGTCTTCTGATTAAAACTTCAGTGGAATTTTAAGGAAATTTAAAAATTATCCAGAAGAATAAATTTGAAAAAGTCGTTTAGAAAATTTAGAAGAAAATAATTGAGGGGAGTGAATTGCTTAACCAAGTAGCAAGGTATGTTGCAAAGATAGAATAATTAAGAAAATAGTTTTGGAGCAGGAAGTAGGTTTGCAGAACAAATAGGTCTGGAGGGCAGTAGGAGCAGGAAATAGGTCTGTAGAACAAAGTAGCGGTTACGGAAATGTGCGTAGACAATTTTGGACTAATAAGTGTATATCAAGCACTTAGGGAAAGGGTGGATTGTTTTAAAAAATGGTTTTTAGGAAATGGGCTGTTTTGAGGAGCAAACACAGTTACATCCCAATTTCACATCATAAAATTAGATGCCAGGTGGAGTAAATATCTAAATATTTATAAAAAAATAAGATTATAAGAGTACTGTTTCCAGAGACTCAAGATGACCGTCTTAACCACGCCTGAAATCTAGAAACCATGAAGGGAGAGACTGATAGGTTTAACTACATGTTTAAAGTTTAAAGTAATAAAGTACCGTAAACAAAGTTAAAAGCCAAACAAAAGATGGGAGAGAAATGTTTACTATATGTAACAGTGTACAGGGAGGGAGTCTCTTGGCCAATAAGACAACCAGTGGGAAATGGACAAAGGATATAAACAGACATTTGAAAAAAGAAATAGCAATGACTAATTTAAAAAGATGTTTATCCTCATTAATAATGAAACTTGAGATACCATTTTTAAGCCAGGAGATTGGCAAAATATAGACCACTGATCATCTCCTGTGTTTGAGTATTTTAAGAGTGTAAATCGGTGTCTTCAGTTTGATAGTAGCTGTCAGAAGTTAAATATCCACACCTCTGACCTGTTGGGTCTGGCTTTAGGGATTTAATCCGTAGAAATACAAGCGTATGTACAAGAGGTACATGCATATAGATGTTTATTAAAGCATTGTTTATACATGAAAAAATGGAGTTCAACATGTTCATCGAGTAGAGAACTAAATACATAAATTTTAGCATATCCATCCTTGCTCTGGAATACTGTGGGGAGCACGTGAGCACTCTGGGGTCAGGTTGGTAGGTTTGAATTCTGGGTCCATCATTTGCGCAGCATAAGCTTCCTAAGTTCTCTGAGCTTCAGTTTTCTCATCTATAAAATGGAAATGATTGAATCTGTTACAGAGGGTTGTGTGGTAATTAAATGAAGTATTGAGAACAGTGCTCAGAATGTAAATGCTCAATAATATTAGCTAATACTAAATTATCACTTTGCAGTTATTAAAAAGAGTAATATACATCTGTAAAATTCCAGCATGAAAATCCCCACAGTGATTCAGGTAAACAGATTTAGAGAAGTGTGTGCATATGGCATAAGCACCTGTTTGTAAATAAAAATTTTCAATGCTGTATGTGCGTGTATTCCGGTGTGTGGATAGATACGGCAGGATAAATGCCAGTTAGCAGTTACGTCTGGAGCGTGTGATTGGGTGGAGGGGGGACAGACTGTCAGATTTTTATAGAAACATTTTCCTGTTTTTTTTAAACATGTATTATATTTATAGCTAAAAGGTTTTTTTTTTGACATTCAGTAGATTGTAAGGATAGTAGAACTTTGGAATAACTTTTATTTATTTATTTATTTTTAAATAACTGTGGAAAGGTGGTGTTCTCTAAATGATGTGCTTTTCCTTATTTTCCTTAGTGACTCACTAAGATTCTCCTTGCAGGAACATGCTTACCCAGCTGACGAACTCATGCCTTTAACCTGCAGAGGTCGTGTTAGAGGCCAGGAGCCAAGTCGGGGTGACGTTGATGACGCCTTGGGAAAGTGAGTATTAAACACAGGGGAGCGCACCTCAGAGATGCCAAGGCTTACGACTCCTCAGAGACAGTGTTCAGTGCCGTATATGGGGATTGGTTACATTTCAAAGACGGCTTTAAGTGCTACATTAAGTTCCTCTATTCTTTTCTGTTCTCTTTTGTACAGTGTTATTCAGTTTACCTCTTAGGTCAGTGAAAAGTTGTTTGTTAAGATGGATGTAACTCTTAAAATGCATTATAAGGTGTTGATGCTTTAATATTTTTATTTGCTTTAACAAGTGCTAATGAATATTTCTATTCATTTTGGAAGGTATGTAGTTAGGCTGACCGTAAAATGTGATGTTAAGGCTTTTCAGGCCCTTTCCGTGCTTTGCAGGTTACGCGGCAGTGTCGATGCGTGCAAGTACTAGTTAACGGAAACTACCCGTCAATAGGATGTAGATATGTCTGTTTATACATTTGTGGATAAAATACTCAGAATCCTAATGTTTTGTCTCTCACTATGCTTGTTCCTTAGATTTTCTCTGACACTGATTGATTCTTTGGACACTCTTGTGGTAGGTTTGATGCTTCTTGAATTATTTGGTAAATTTCATAATATATGCCCTCAACTATTATGAATATGATCATTACACAGTAAGTCTGAAGAGAAGCCTTCAGAATTTAGGATGATTTGCTCTTTGCTTCTAAATAAAGCTTTCACACTGTTGAGTTGATAATGTCATATCAATGTCAAGTGAAATTATGTAAAGTCATGGAGATACTCAAATAATTTATAGCTTTGTCAGCTTCTGTGATGGCACCTTAATCAGGAAGTGGTTTCCCTTGGGGCAAGGAGGTTGAAGCTGTTGAAAGAGTAATTCTAGAAAATACCCTGATACTCTTATTCCAGAATGACATACCACAATTGTGCTGAATTGTTAAACTAGAATTTTTATATATTATGTTCATTAAAAATTTAACTTTTTCTCAGCAGTGATTTTTACCACCAAGTGATCACTACTTGGCACTCTTTCAACCTTAAAGGATACAAAGTCATTTCAGTTAATTCTAGCTGGAAATGGTTTGTGATGGCAGAGAAGGATGATTGAGTTCCAGATGTCATTATTTCTAAATGTAGTATCTTCTAATGTTTTCTGCTCAGATAATTTCTGGTATAAAAATAGGTTTGTTTTATGATTTTCCTTAAGGCATAATTCTCAACTTTAAAGTTAATGTCTCAAATGCTGATTAATATTTTAAAAAATGAGAAATCTTTGTGGTGGCAGAAATTTTTTCCAGAACCAAGCTTTTCTTCCCAATATTGTTTCCCCATTCTTTTTTCACTGATGATTTTTTTTTCTTCCCTTTTGTTTTTGAGAGTTTCTCAACTACACCAGCACCTTAGGAAGACTGCCTGTGAAGTTTTAAAAAATATTCTTCTCTCTCAAGTTATTCTGATTTAATTTTTCTGGAGTGGGACTAGGCTTTATTATTTCTTCCTCTAAGGTTTCTCTTTGTTTATAAAATTCAGGCATAGAGAAGACCTTTTTCTGTTGAGAAGACCGTGGTTTAGACCTTCCTGGCTGTATCAGGGTTTCAAAAGTTATGACTTCATATTTCAGAGATTAAAGGCACGTGTGCGCTGTATCATACTGACTATAAGAATGAGAGAGAAGATTGTGTGTCTTATTTTTGATTTAGTTGTCCTAGGTGTTCTGTGATCATAGAAGAGAAAAATACACACAAATATCCCATGAGAAGCTGGGAGAAGCTAGGTGGCATGACTTACTCGCAAGTGTAGCTGGTGATGCACCCTGGGAGAAGCTAGGTGGTGTGACTTTTTCGTAAGTGTAGCTGGGTGACGCACATCACGTCTGCCTGGATGTGAGGGAGTGAGGGAGGGGCGGTAACTGTGTGTTAGGAAAGGCCATAGGTGGACTGAAGTTTATTTCTCATTCTGCCTCCTTGGCTTTATCCTTACATATAGCAGGTTCCCCATCTTCTCTCTGTAAGCTCTTACTGATTTTCATGGACATGAACGTCAGCTATTGTGTGTGTTTTTAAAATTTTTATCGGAAATGAAGGAGAAAAGGTGGTTTCAGGCTGCAAAACTTACCTATATGTAGAAATCTGTTGGCCTTTAGTTGAGCAGCCATTGTTATAAAGGCTCTACTTTGAAGTTACACCCCTTTGGCATTAGTTCTCAAAATATGATTGCAGCACCACGAGCGTGAGCTTCCCCAGGCAGCTTGTTAGAAATACAGACTGGAGGGCCTTGCGCCAGGCGTGCTGAATCAGAAAGTCTGGGAGTAAGGGCCAGCAGTCTGCTTTTTTAACAAGCTTCCAGATGATTCTAACGTATGCTAAAGTTTGAGAACCACTCTGCAATGATGCAGTACTTTTTAAACTTAAGTGGACTGCAAGTCACCTGGGAATCTTGCTCAAATAAAATGCAGATTGTAATCCAGTAGACTTGAAGGTGGGGCCCAAGAACGTGAGTTTCTAATAAGCTGCCACCTGGGGGTGCTGTGCTGCTGGTCCGCGGCCCGCACTGATGGTAACGTGTGGTATAA